ATTACAGCACGGAGGACAAGGCAGGAGGATCATCTGAGGTGAGGAGTTCCAGACCGGCCTGGCCATCTCTACTAAAAAATACAAAAAACAATCAGCTTGGCCTGGTGGTGTGTGCCTGTAGTTTCAGCTACTCAGCTACTCAGGAGGCTGAGGCAGGAGAATTGCTTAAATCTGGGAGGTGGAGGTTGCAGTGAGCCAAGATTACACCACCATACACATAGCCAGGGCAACAAGACTCTGTCATACACACACACACACACACACACACACACACACACACACACAGCAAAACTCTTGGAGTGTTCTGTAACTATATAGTGCGAAAGGAAACACTTATTGATTTACAAAGAAATTAAAAGTTAAATTATTTTATAATATTTGCTGGAGCTCAGAGAAAATATGAGAGAGCAAGCAAAGCACTCACATGTTTGTACACTAAAACACATGTGGCTGCTGCTGTGGGTAGGATTTAGGGAAAGAAACAAAATATAGTCAGCCCTCCTTCTTCCCCTCCCCGATCGAAACACCAGGGCATATATCTTAAAAACCATGTAAATACTAACTTAATTTTTATTTTCCTTCTTCCTTAATCTTTCTCCATGTCAAATTAAAAAAAAAAATAGGAGTAAGAGAAGGGGCAAATCCCTCTGGAATGTAAGCAAAAGCAATTTTCTGGCAAATACAGATTTTATAAAAACTGGTGAATAGAACTGATTAGAAAAGCTATAGGCTGCCCAGGGCTTGAATTGGAAGATACATGAAGTAATAAGCTCTGCCTGACTTGAAAAGTGAAAAGGGAAGAGAGAAAAATTGTAATGTATCACAAATTCTATGAAAAGTGTGGCACCCATGGGATAGTTATTTGCATTCAATTTTTGTTCTTGTTTTTTTTTCCCCATAAGGTTGAAATCCACAAAATAAAAGCTCTTGGTTTTATAGCAGATTTTTTAAAGAACAAAAGTTTGATTTGTTTTAAACAGAAAGCACACTAGAATTTGTTTAATCAATATTTTAAATTACGACTTATTTTGGATGCCAAGAAATAAAGATTTCCATTTACATTTTTGCAACTTGTCCAAAATGAATTTAACTCACAGAAAAGTTAGATGATTGTAATACCAACCTTGTATCTTATGTAAGCACTTAAATGCAGATTGGAAGCTACTAATCATGTCATAAGGAAAGTATTAGAAATGTTTTAATTATTCATTTTTCTCCAAGAGTTGGTTTTGTATTATTCTTTCATAAGCCATGAGTATTCAAAAGCCATTTGGCTTAAAACTAGAGGGAAAGAGTCTGCAAAATAAAATTTGAAGAGCTCTTTTGCATTATCTTCTCTGACCTTGAGATGGAAAGTTAAGCAGAATTGGAGCTACTGAACTTTAGAAAGTCCCTAAATCCATGCGGTCTTTAATACCTGAAGTATTTCTATGTTCTTTAATTTCAATGTGTCAGACTACCAAGGATTGCATTCTGCTTTGTTCCCTTAAGTTTAGCTGAAGGTCATTCCTGGCTTTACAGATTAAAATCTGTGCAAACTAACCTCTGATGTAGAGAAGAGTTGCTGTGAACATTTTAAAGTCTGGAAGAGAAGAATTCCACACTAATCTCTTTATTAGTATCTTCTCTTTGTCAAGAGGGCAAATTGCATATACTACTTTCTATATCACTGTCTAACATAAAATATTGGACTGAAAATGAATAAATTTATTATGACCACTTGGATTCAACATGTAAATTTGTGCATACTGACACATAAATTACAGTTCTCAGTATATTTCTGAAAATCTAATTATAATATATGACATTTTCGTCTTATAATACAAAGAAGCAAAAAGCTGATCTATAGATTTTCTTGGCATATATAGTTAAATTTCTACCCCAGGATGCATAATTAATGTGTTATTATTTCTTGGTAATTTCAGTTTTTGATCACTTTCTTGATTGTAGATTTATTAATTGAATGACAGCCAAGTTGTGACTGTGGACCTGCTTTTATGCATACTCTTCCCAGAATGCTTCTCTTAAGGATCTTATTAATCTATATACCAAAACACAGTTTAAATTTTGTTTTCTCAGTGAACCTTCCTCAATCAATGCTAACCAAATGGGCTCTTCTCCATTATTCTCTATTCCAACCACGTTTATTTTCTTCAGAGCACTTCAAATTTTCAACTAATCTGAAATTGTGAGTTACATAATCTGACCCCTGGCTACCAACATCACACCTCTCATTTTTCACATTCTTCCCTCTCTCATTTTTTCCCACTAACGTTCCTGGATGTTCAAAGTGTGCTCAGGAGTTCCCCCTCCTGAAGACATTCCCCCAGGTATCTGCAACTTTGCTTCCTCACTTTCTACAGGGCTCTTATCAAATGTCCCTGACTCAGGAGGGTGTTCCTTTACTAACACATCTGAAACAGCAGCCCCCATTTACAGCACTCTCCTTTTCCCAGTTTTATTTCTTCTCCTTGGCACTTGTGGTTGTATATGTATGTGTTCATTGTGTGACTCTCATTAGCATGCAAATGCCATTAGGTTTTATTTATTTTGTTCATTAGCACTGGCACAGTGTATAAAACAATGTTTGGCATAAGTCTGGCACACAATACTTATTTGTTAAATTAATTAATTAATCCCTTGCTTATCATCCGTTTCTCCCATTAGGCTTATAAGGGCCATAAAAGCAGAAACTTTTTGTTTCTGGTATTCCTCTAGCATCTTGCATATAATATGTGATAAATGAATATTGAATGAATTAATAATTGCCTCTGTGTGTATTTTAATCTCCCTCTCCTAGTAAGTTCTAATTACCACAAAAAGTGGAATTATGTCTCTTTGTCACACCAGTGTGTACCAATCCCACAATAGGGTCTGACTTATGATAGACACTCATTAAGTGAAGGATATCAAGGACCGGGGCCAAAGTCAACAAGAACTTACAGTGACCATAGCCACCCAGAGGCCTTTACAAGGATGATCTCAGGTCTTAATGGCAAAGTAAAAAGAGTTTTAGATAGGCACAGAGCCATGAACATCTGAGATCACCTTGTTCATCCTTTTAGGGCCCAGCCTGGACTTTGAAAATGCTTACTTCCCACAGCAGGCCCAAGAAGTTAGGTGCAGACTTCTGAGTTTCTTACTTTCAGATTATTGTTCAAATTTGTAAAGAAGTAAATCTTAATTTCAATCCATAGCTTTGATTTGTTTACTTAAAGCGTTTGCCCTGAAGACTATACCCATGTATGATGTCAATGGGCAGCGAACAAAAATAATTCAATTTTAACATAAAATCTCCACTAAATAGTGGAGTAACCTTGAAAACATCTTATCACTTTTCCATGCTTTTTCATCCGTAAAATGAAAATACCAAAAAAGAACTAGCAGCTCTAAAATGATGGATTATATATTCAGATTCACTGGAATGCCCTTGGGAGATTTTGTCAAGCACTTCTTTCCTTTCTCTCCTTTGCCCACCTGCTGCAATTCCTCTTGGTTAAACATTACAGTTTTGGTGAGCTACTGTTACTGATGGGAATCCGTCAAGTGTATAGGGGAAAGCTAGGTTGAGAACCTCTGGCCTATGTTATCGCTATCGTCCTTTCCATGCCAAAATATTGTGAATCTATGAACCGCACCTCAGTTCACTAGCAAATCATTATATTTTAACACTGCTTAAGTTACTGCTATCCTGAGCTTACTGACACTAACTTAACATTAATTTTTTATTGTACTGTGAGCCAGGGACTATGGCAGACACTGAGCATTCAAAGACGAATTTAGAAATGGCCTCTTCCCTCAAGGAGTTCCATCCAGTAGGGAGAGAAATGCAACAGAATATGATAAATGCTTTAATGGGGCCAAAGCAGCAAGTCAATTTAGAGCACATCAAAGGGTACCAAAGCAGCCTGGGAGAGAGGTGATCTGGAAAATCTCCCAGTAGGTGACCAAAAACTGAGTCTTAAATCTAATTAATTGAATTATAGACTGCTAAAGCTGCAAAGTGTTAGAGTCATCTAATTCAAACTCCTGATGTGGCACAGAGAGAAACTGATGTCCTAAGAGGCTGGTGTATAGAGAGTAAATATCAGAGTTGCAACTAGGACACAGATATGTAATACTGGGCTGCGTCTTTTGAAATGCACCTTCTTTGAAGGGAAATTTTCAGAACCTTTTCTTTCATCATTTTAATCATGGAGGTATCCAATTAATGACTCATATTTAAATAAGGCACAGAGAACAATATTTTGTATATTGACTTTATGCTCAGTAGTGATACCAATAACCCATCATCTCTTGGTTATAGATTTTGTGTGAGCTGCGGGTGAATTTTTTCAGACTCATCCACAGGCTAAGGCTGCTTGCCTCCTGAGCTACCGCATGGATGTAATCACACGGAGAAGGACAAGTTGAGTTTGCCTGTGAGCAAAACAAACTTTAAGAATAAATCTTAGTCCAATTAGCACCTCCTCTCAATAACTGACTGAGGCATCTAAGAGCTAAGGTAAAACCCAAACACTGAAATATTTTTTAGTAGTAGTAGTAGTATATAAAATGACTTAGGTATGCAATCTTCTTGGAGTTTTTGTTCCTAACGTAGTCACTTGATTTGGGATGTTTAATGACTGTGATTTTGTAATGGGACAATATAAGAGCTCATCACATTAAAACATAAATACTTGGGAAGCCCATAGTCTCTCATAGCTTGCCATCTGTTTGGTTCTTACTGGCAATGGATTTATCCTGCTTAGTGCAGATGATGATATTGTGGGTAAAATCATGGATTATACAACGGGTTTCTGAGGTCTTTAACTACTGTTATTAATTTTGGCAGCTTGCAAATCAACATTTTCTAATACAAAATCAATTACATTTTATTTTTCAACTCTTACCCTAGGAAAGGTTGCTATGGGCACCACATAGCATCTGTTCTGGCGCCAACAAATTGCGTTAAAGTCACCCACAGTCTCTCCAAATTAAAAACCTCAAACTGAGTTCACGGGCTTTGTCATTGTACTCCCAGCAGGATGCTCTTTTGCCTTGCCCCACCGTTCAGTTTAATCCTCCAGAAAGAAAATTTTTAGAGGTACATCGGACTAAATCATTTTCGTCTGAGCACACCGTTTCCAAATGGCCGCCCAGGGTCCTAAATCCGGCGGCTGCGGAGAGGGACTAGCGGGTGTTCTCCTCTGCAGAGCCGTGGGACTCCAGCGCCTTCATCACTGGACGTTGGAAGCCGGGAAGGAAACCCACACACTCAGGGATAGGTATAACCCCGCACGGGTGCACCAGCGAGGCCCGGATCGCAGCAGAGGACTCCATCCCTGAGCTTGTGGCGGGGGGTGGGTCCTGGGGACGAAGCCAACACTTTCCCCAATGAAGTCAGAGAGCGGGACGTACTGGGTCGCAGGTCAGAAGTTGAATTTTAACCCGACGAGCGCTGTGCCCCTGCGCCTTCCGCAGCAGCCCGGGCGCCGCGGTGGCATCGAGCTGGGAGGGGACGAGAGAGGCTGGAGCGGGAGAAGCTGAGAGTTGCCACCGACCGGGAGCTGCCGGCGGCCGGAACAGGGTCGACCCTCGCCGCTTTCGAACGCGAAGCCGGGGACAGCCGGGCTCGGCTGCTGAGGCTCAGCTGCCGGGGCTCGGCTCCCCGCGCTCTGCGTTGCCCTTTGGGCGGAGGGCAGCTCCCCGCCTGCAGCGGCCCCGCCGCCGTGCGTCCGGCCGCCCCGGGGTGCGCCCTGCCCGCCCCCCAAGCGGCCGCCGGGACTCCCGCAGGAGAACCGACCCTCGCCCCCCAGCGCCAGGACAAACTTCCTTCCTCCCGGACCCCCGCGCCGCGCAGGCTGGCAGGCGGCTCCCTCGCCGGTCTCCTCTGGGCTCGCTACGGCCGGCGAGCTTGCTCCCTGCCCCTCTCTAACCCCGAGCCCCGGGCGCCTAGCCGTCCCCGCGCAGCCGCTCCAACAAAGCCAGAGGCCTGGAGGAGACCCAGCGAGGGGCTGGGAGTGGCTGCGGGGACCCTAGAGCCCGAAGGAGGTGTCCCCTGGGCGGGGCGAGTCCAGTGTGAAGGAGCGGCGGGGACGTGGCGGGGAGGAAAGGGGAAGAAAGTGTCCTGTTCCCGGCGCAAACGCCTTCCAGGCTCGCCCTGGCTCCCCCTTCTCCTCTTGCCCGGGCGCTTCCCGCGTCCCGGTGGGAATTGACAGGGGCGAGGGGCGGGTGGGCGGTGGAGGGGAGAGTGGACATGGTGGCCTGGCTGGCTAGCCGCTTCCTTACCTCTGTCCAGGGTGAGCGGCTGGACCACTGTCAATGTCGCCATGTCTGCCGTGGGAGCCGAAGTGACGCTCGGCTTCAGCATCAGCAACCGCTTGTAGTGAGAAAAAAAGGAGGAGATAGATTGGGGGCGGGGGTGGAGAGGGAAGACGGAAAGGAGGGGGAGGAGGGGGAAGGAAGGTGGTGGTGGTGGTGGAGAAGAAAGCTTGGGTGGGTTGGTAGCCAGATGGAGACGCAACTGTTCGCGGCGGCAGTTCAGTTGCGGCGCGGAGCTGAGCAGGTATCCGAGAGCAACTGCGTCGCCGGGCTCCGGAGGGATGGCTCTGCCCTAGAACTTTGTTATTTCACCCCCAGGAGCGCTGGGTGGGTGTAGCTGGAGTGCTGCTCTCTTTCAACTTTCCACTCTAATAAAATGGTCAGAATATACGTGTGTGTGTGTGTGTGTGCTTGTGTGTGTGTGCTTGTGTGTGTCGGGGAAGAGGGAGGATGGAAAGGGGATATGGGGGAGGGAGTAGGAGATGAGTTTTCTCAGATTAAGAGAAATTGCCAATCCAATAATCCCATCCCCTTAAGAGAGAAAATGCTTCTACCGTCAGAAATGTTTGAGATGTAATTACACTTGCAGTTAATTTCTGTTGAAGTTTTTTGGAACGTTGACCTGTAACTGTATTTAAAGATAACTGACTTAAGGCGAGCGTTCCATCCATAGATGTTCATTTAGGACCTGAGTATATTCCTGGTGAAAAAAAATAAAAAAATGCAAACCTCCTAAAAGTGTTTCAAAATAAAAAAAATGTAGGTAAGTTTCTCTCACTACGTTTTCTTTTTTTTTTCCAAGCCATTGTTAATACTTTACCAGTTCAGTAAATGTAGCTCAGATTTTCCCCGAATTTTTTACCTACCACACCTCTTAAACATGCCCTGCTCTCTGCCCTCCCTCCACCCAGCAACAACAAAACTTTGCTCTTAATGTCCAGACTGATTTTGGTTTATACCACTACTTTTGAAACATAAGTACCTATCACTTTTCATGTTGTTTTCTAACCAGTGGTTCAGAGATGTCACTTATTAATTAACATATACACCAGGAATTGAGATAGAAGAGTTACATTGCCTTGTGCCACGCCTTGATTTAGGAGTTCAATTTAGTCTCTGATTTCCTGTAGCCTGTAATGCAGCAGGAGATGATGCTATTAAAAGCCTGACTTTAGAGTCAGTTGATCAGGAGTCAATTACTAGCTCCTTCAAATACTGGTTGTGACCCCTTGGCCCCAAGAAACAGACTACTTTGACTATCTTGTCATTAGGAATTCATTTCCTGATTATGAAATCAACAAACATAGAGAAACCCTCTATAAGCTGAATAGGGGTGACTGTGGGTGCAGGATTGGAAATCACAAAGCTGCCTCCATCTTGTTCCCTGTGGCAGAATTGTTAGGGCTAGCAATAAATTCTAAAAGGCAGCTACTGTTTTATAGCAAAATATTTGCATATAAGTGGTGCCATTTTCTTCTGATTGCAGATATGATTTCTGAAGGTCTTTTTCATTTTATAGTCTACAATTGAATTTTAAGGAGCAGCATTTCACCAATGATTGGGAAAGTCAAAGATGATTGCCATATATAGACTTAATAGACCCTAAAAACAAACCTAAAATAGTAGTTTGATATGCTACTTTTTATTTAGTATTTTAGAAAGAACGCTGATCTTGACATTTGAGTCTTAGTTACATACATGCTCTTTGGAGGTCACATAATCTCTCACTGAATCTTTTTCCTCCTCTGTCATACAGTGGAAATAACATCATTCAATGTCATAGAGATTCTGTCATATGAGGAAACTAATTCCATCTTGCAATCTCACTGAACTTTGTGAGGGTCTGATAGACTCATACAAGTTGTGCTTTGAAAACAGTAAAGAATAGTCAAATTTATTTATGCAAGCATATATCCCATGGAACCATGTGGTAAGCTCTGTGCTAGGTGCTAACCTTGCAAAGATTAATGAGATGGACCCCTCTGTCCAGCCTTTCTTGGGAGACAGTTAGCAAACCATAAACTTCTATGCAATAAGTATGCTAAACACTATGGAAAGGAAGTGCCCTTGGAGGATGGAGGTTGAAGAAACAACTCTGGTTTGTAACCATTATTCACATGCCCTAAGTTAATTAAGCAACAGAAAGAAGTTGAGTTGAGCTCAATGATACCAGACTGTGTTCTAAGCTTTTGCACAAAATTGTTAAACCTCATTCAGTTACCGAGGATAAAAGAACATACAAACCCCTTGACTTCTAATGTAGCTATTTTATAACATCCTTTATTAGAGAATATGTATTTGAGCACCTTGATGGATCAACCCAAAAGTCATAAATTGTACCTATTTCACCATAAATCCCTGATTGTGTTGTCAATGAAGGCCAAGTTTTTTGTCTTTTTGTTACCTGATGTATCCTTAGGACCAAACATTTTATAGCATATTTCTGGACTTATAACTTGAGCTTTCTATTTGAAAATTTGCCCTATCATTCTTTATCTATGTTGAGTCTGTATGGTGGTTGTTGTTTTGTTTTTAAATAAAGATTAAAAGAAAAATTAAGAGGAAGCATAAATCACCATATATTCATCTCTTATTTTTGGTAGCGGAAAGTTCATTGCCTTTTGCTTATATCTACACAGGCATAGAAAATTAATAATAATTCATTGTCCATTAGAATTTGTTTTTATGAATAAATAATATCTCTCCTATAATATTTGTGAATTTCTTTTTGAGACATGCAGGGATACAATAAGAAGATTTTCTTGACCTCTTCTTTTGCTTAGGTAGATGTGCTTATGCTTAAGTCTCATGAATAATTCCCTGGTCACCCCTGTACTAACCAGTGTTTCATCAAGGTCAATTATACTTGCCTAGTTACATGCTCATTGCTTTGCTGTGTATTAACCTAAGAATTGTTAAAACATTTGTAATTATACTTTTATCTTAGCTATTTGGTTACAAAATCACTACTCTTTCATAAAACGATATGTAGAAATTGAGTTCAGTGGTAACTATATTTTCATGGAGTTAACTAATTCAATAAATACTTATTGAGCACTTTTTATGTGCCAGACTTTGTGCTAGATTGGTCTCTCTTTCCTTTATTTCCAGCCCAGAAAAGTAGGTATTTTTTATGCTGTTTTGGAGATAAGTAAACTGAAGCTCACAGAGGTTACGCAACTGCAACTTGCTTAAGAATAGCAGCACCTGGCTTCATGATCACGTGTGCTTTCCACTAAGAAACATCACACCCTGCTTTTTTGTTTTGTTTTGTGTTTTGTTTTTTGTTTTTGAGATGGAGTCTCACTCTGTTGCCCAGGCTGCAGTGCAGTGGTATGATCTTGGCTCACTGCAACCTCTGCCCCCTGGGTTCAAGCAATTCCTCTGTCTCAGCCTCCTGAGTAGCTGGGACTACAGGCACCCTTCGGCACTCCTGGATAATTTTTGTGTTTTTTGTGGAGGAGGGGTTTCATCATGTTGGTCAGGCTGGCCTCAAACTTTTGATCTCAAGTGATCCGACCACCCCTCAGCCTCCCAAAGTGCTGGGATTACAGATGTGAGCTACCACGCACAGCCTCATCACACTCTCTATGTTATTAAAGATTTAGTGATTTTATTTCAGAATTCCAGATAAGTGTGTATATATATGTGTATAAAATCTTTTAAGAAATATATAAATATATATATTTATATATCAAGATATATATCTTTTAAGAGATACAAATGTATATATTTACCTATATATTAAAATATATTTTAATATATTAATAAATATATTTGATATATGTGAAATATACATTTATATATTTTATATTTAATACATATATATCTGATATATATTATATATGTATATTATATATATGTGATATATATACACATACACACACACACACACACCCCTTTTCTCTCTCTTTCGTGTGTCTGTTGGCTTGAGACATACTCAAAGGGAGGAATGGATGAAGGAAAGTTAGATCAAAGGACAAAATAAGTATGATTCTGGTTCCATTCTATATACATATAGGTTAGTATTCAAACAGACCTTAACATAACTTTCAGTGATTTTATTAATCTGTTATTAGCAAAATCACTCAAAGCTATGTTAAGGTCTGTTTCACTTAATTGAATCTTTTAAAATTATATGACAAAATTAAGAGAAGGTTTGAATAGAGCATGAGCATATCAAGGAAATGTGTTTAGTTAGATTATAAATGAAGTATAATGAGCACAGTTTCATATGAGAAAATAGCACCTTCAACTGGAGTTCTTTCAGCCTGGGTGTTAGAAATTGTTTTTGACTGATTCAAGATAACATGTTATTTTTCTTAATTCACACAGCTTTGTCAAAATAGCACTAGATTAAGATGAAGTGCCAACCAATACTTTGAAATGTAAATATTTGTTTTTAAAACCATCATAGAGTGTCTTACTATATTTATTTATCTTCATATGTGTCTTTATAACTACTTATTTGTCTGTTCATTCAACAAACACTTAATATGCTGACTATATGCCAGGCATTATACTAGGCATTGGGGTATTGCAGTAAACAAGAAAAAGTTTCTGTTCTCTCTTGGCTTATATTCAATAAGGAAAAGAAAGTCAATAAAGAAACAAACAAGAAAGAGAGAAATTAGTGACTTAATATTGTGCAAAGAATGAATAAATTGATGACTAAACTAGACCTAGAATAATGTCAGAATTACAAAAGACAGGGATGGGGAAAAGGGCCTTATAGGGAGCAGGAGAGAAAAGCCAGTGATGAGAGAGCAGGCACAGTGTGTATTTGGGTAAAATCAGCAGTTAATTTTGTAGTATAATATAAAAACAAGCCTAAAGAGAGCTATTGAGATTTCAGTGATGAAAGATAATATAATTAGTGAACAGAAATACAATGAAACTTTCATTAATTTCTTTGTGCCAATCATACAATAAAATGTTCAAATATGATCTTTGCTAAGAAAAATATTTGCATCATAGCACCTGCATTAAAAATTACTAGCATCAGAATAAAGAGTTTACTAATCTGGAGCTGGATGTTAGAAAACTTAGGATGAAATTAAAATATTAAATTCTAATTATTTTTTATTTTCTCCAAAAGAAATAACATTTTTCTGTTTTCACAGTTGGAGGTTATGACTGATCTTTTAATAATGAAATTTAAATTCAAAGCTTAGCTTTTTCTTTTTTTTTTTATGCATCCCAAACTTATATTTACATCTGTTAGGAATATCCAGAAATACATGAAATACTACACAAACTAATTTTTAAAAGTGAAACAATTTCTTCTCACATTTGCTCAGCAGATGTTTCCAAACTATTAGAACTCATAAACTTTAACAATTTAAAAAACATCTTTATTACCATTGTCATCTAAACATTTAAAATATATTCAACATTGAGTAAAAAGTTATGCTTTCGTCCAATAAATTAAGCACCTGCTATATGCTAGGCACTGTTCTGTGCCTGGAACTTAGTTTTGATGAAAAGAAACAGATAAAATACAAATTAGCCAACCAATCAGATAATCTTTGACAATGGTGAGCACCGTGAACACTGATGTGCTGAAGCCTATTCACACTGTATATGAGACCCAATAATATGCATTTTGTCTCAACATCACTTTCAGTTAGATCACACTGGCATCTTCTGATTGACCATGGTGGCAGTTTTTAAACCATTGGGAGTGGTAAATACTGTACACCAATTTTTTTTTCTTCCTCTGGAAAGCCAGTTGCTAAACATTTAACAGCATACCACAAAGTACATGATGAAAATAAAATAGAATGTTGTGATGAAATATACAACAGGGAAAGAGGCTACTTTAGAGTGGTCAGGGAAAAAGTAACATTGTATTTAATAGAGCATTTTTTAAAATAACAAATCTGCACTGCACTTGATGTGTATGTACTGACTAAGACACAGGACATGGGATGGAGTTAGAAGAAGGAGACATTCATATTTCTATGGAGTTTACAAAATAATTAGAAAATAAAAGCATAGGCCGGGCGCGGTGGCTCAAGCCTGTAATCCCAGCACTTTGGGAGGCCGAGGCGGTTGGATCACGAGGTCAAGAGATTGAGACCATCCTGGTCAGCACGGTGAAACCCCGTCTCTACTAAAAATGCAAAAAATTAGCTGGGCATGGTGGCGCGTGCCTGTAATCCCAGCTACTCAGGAGGCTGAGGCAGGAGAATTGCCTGAACCCAGGAGGCGGAGGTTGCGGTGAGCCGAGATCGCGCCATTGCACTCCAGCCTGGGAAACAAGAGTGAAACTCCGTCTCAAAAAAAAAAAAAAAAAAAAAAAAAGAAAATAAAAGCATAACATTAACTACAAAATGATATATCAAGAATAAACAATACTATAAATTTGTATGTGTTAAAGGCATACAGAAATTAAAAAGGCAAGTCTGGATTGTGGTGACTTTCTGCAGGCAACTTATGTTGCCTTCCAGAAGAAACTTGGAAATACTTACTTTCTTGCATGTAGGTAGGAGAAAGTTTTACCTTTGAGCAGAGAGAGCTACTCTTTGCAACTTTGAATCAGAGGATTGCTAAGTAGACCAGGAACTTCTAAGGAATTTCACCAAAAACTAAAGAAAGAGGAAAGGCATGATGATTATAATAAAGTCTCAATGTGGCTGAGGAATCTTAACATGGTGAAGGGACAACACTGTCACCTGATACTTGGAAAGGACATTAATGATAGCTAGGGCTTGTTTGTTTGGGACTTTAGCTTTATGTAAAACATGGTTAAAATGGCTTTCTCTTGATGAGCATCTCAATATCTGACTTCTATTCCTTTAAATATAGCTTAACTTATTCCTTCCACCAGCATAATTTATCTCTAATTTTGGTACTATGGAATGAATTAAGGATATTGGGAAGAAACAGATGAACAGGCCATCTTGAAATTTTTCACATTCTTACACTGTACAGTAATTGAGACTAGTAGCAGAATTTACTTTAAGTGTGCTGGAAAACATACATGTCAGTAATTAGCAAGTTTAAGAGCTAAATGCACCATTAGCATGGACAGCACATTCAGTAGAGGATTCCAAACTCTCTCTAGCGTTTATCCTCCAATGCTCTAATTTGAAGCAAAAAGTACTATAATTTTTAGTTAGTTTATACTTAAATATGATCTTTCTGGGCCCAGCCTAAAACATAAAGTGCCCTTTTCTCAAAACTAATTGGGGGATCAAATTATGCTCTCTGAAACTGAGTTTCTTACTCTCAGCTTCTGTGGTTTTCTGGTCTTTCTGGTCCTGGAGGGACTCTTACACTCTTGCCCCTCAGGTGGGCCTCGCTGACCCTGCAATTTCCTTATGCCATTCCCCAAGTCTGTGCCATTACACAAGGCAGATCCACTTTCTGAAATGCAGTATCTCTGAGAAGCTTCCTCTTTCAAAGATTTCTTAATTTTACTTCTTGCTTAAAGCATTTCACATAATAACTCCAACTGTGAGTTTATTATAGTCTTTTAAGGATTTAACCAGAATGGGGGAAAATGAGACAATTGAAGATGGTTTTAATTCTAAATTAGTATCTCAAGGCTCCTGCCACCCAGAATATATTGCATAGATTAATTGCAGTAAACCAATCTGAATAAAAATTTTTATCTAGACCCCAAATTTAAAAAATCCCCAAAAAGTGGAGACAGCAAGAAAATCTCTACCATCTTTATCGAGGTAAGATAAGCAAACAAACTATTCTATTAACTCTTTTATATATCTTATACATTCTTTTTTTAACAAGAGTTTTCGTTTTGAAATTTTAAGCATAAGACAATGCACACGTCAAACAATTCAAAAGGTATTGCAGAAACCCATTCAATTGCAAGTCATCAATGTTAAGAAGGATTTTTTTGGTATATTTAATACCATGTATATATATATTATATGAAATACACATACTGTATGTTATATGTGCATATATCTTTTTTAAATTCTAAGTAGAATTCTACTATACAACATATTTTGCATCTTTGTTTTATTTTTGTGATATTTTCATATCAATACATGTAGATCTATATAATTCTTGACTTCATAAAATTGCCTCAGAGTAGTCTCTCATAGGTGTACTCTCAGGTTGTTTCTAGGTTTTTGCTATCTCAAACAGGGCTATGAATGAAAATCAGTCTTCTTTATAGCATCTTTATAAGCATGAATTCCATGCAGTTATGGCCTTGTCATTTTGTGCAATCCAGTAATAATGTGGCCATTTTCAATTTTGTGCTTCCAGATTATAATATCTGCGACTGCTTTTTAAATGTATATATATCATGGAATGACTATGTCTAGCTAATTAACTTGTGTATTAACTACAATATCATCATTATAATGGTGAGAACACTTTACATCCACTCTCTCAACACGTCAAGAATATATAGATTGCCAACTACAGTCATGCTGTACAGTAGAGCCACAATTGTTTTATTAAACAATTTATTTCCACTAAATGAAATAATATAGGAACACAAAACACAAAGAGATGTTTAAGTACTTTCATTTTCAAATAAAATGACATGTTGAATCACTAACTGAATAAAAAGCTAAGTACAACTTAAAACAACAAATACTATTCTTTCATTAAATTTTATGAGTAGTTAGTAATGCAAAGACTGCTTTAAAAGCTAGTGCATGTAGTGCTCTCTACTGGTCTTATCTTTATTACAATTACAATCAGTTTTGAATCTGCAGTTATATAGGAGCCATAATGAAAATCTTCTGTATTGCAACTAAAATCAGTGTCAAATTTGTAGTTATATGGGAACCATCATGAAAATCTTCTGTCTCTAAAGGCTAATAGTATTTTAATTTTAATTTCTTTTTGTTTTCTCTTTTAGGGGTGTGTGTGTATATATATGTGCATGCATAAGTATTCATTCTTGAACTTCTATACTGAAGTCAGTAGTGATCTTTACAAATAAGTTGCTGGCATACCTCATCACAAATAATTATGTAATAAAGAGAAAATATAAACAAGATGGATGTAGAACAATAATGAAACTGAAAACATTATGTCTTACATAAACTAATAGCAGCTACAATTTTTGCTTTTATTGTCTTGGAGAAAACAAGTGGAGGCCTCTCAGGAGCAGAATGGGTGAGTGTGTATGTTCAGCAAATAATGGTGGACAGCGACCAACATCTTGCGCTCTTTCTTTCCTTTCCTCCAACATCCTTTCTGCACCATCTTCTAAACACTCCAAAAATCTTACTGGTGCTTTTTTAAAGCTTAGGAAAAAATTTTGGAGTGGTTATGAAAGACATTTGCTTCAGGAGAAAGAGAGAGAGAGAGAGACAGAGAGAGAGAGAGAGGGAGAGAGAGAGATTCTTCATTTATTCTATAATTTCATGTCTAGATGATACTAAGTGCCACACACTGTGCTAAGCACTAAATATTAAGCAGTTTTTGAAACCACCAATACCCAACTCAAGTTATCGGTATTTGTGGGAATTATTCCTTGATTAAAACAGGTATAAATGTGATTGAGGAAAGTATATCATACAATGAGAAAGCCTATAACTGGTACATAAACCACTCTGAGGGTTCAGAAAAGATATCTCCAAAGTGGTAACATTTATGATATAATGTGAAGAATGAATATTAGATGTTAACCAAGGAAAGATGAGGGTTGTAAAGAGTCTTCCAAGATCAGGTACCCTATGGGGTACCTTAGGCATGAAAGCACTTGGCCCTTTAAAAAAGCAGAAAGAAAAGTCAGTGTGGCTTAAGGAAACAGAACCAGAGGGTCTGCCAAGCTAAGGTAAAAATAATAGGTCTTGAAAGCCACATGAAGGATTTTGGATTTCATCCCAAGAGAAATGGGAAGTTATGGGAGTAGTCTTAAACAGCGGAATAAGAGATTTGTATTTTCTTTATCTGAATACAATGTGGAGAGTGATCAGGGTGCAGGGAGCAGGTATTAATTAGAAGAGACCATTTAAGAGGCTATTCAGCAATACAGGTAAGAAAGTACGGTGACTTGGACTATAAAGATGGAATTGAAATTTAATGAAGTGGATGGATCCCAGGACTGTTTGAAGGCTAACACCATGGCCTTAGGTAAGATTTTTTGCAAGTGGTAAAGGAGATGATATTTTAAAAATGCCTCCTAGACTTCTGACATGAATGAATGGATGAATAGTGGTAGGAAATATTAAAGGAAATATTGGGAAGTAAAGTTAGTTTTTAACTTATGAAGTTTGACACCAAAGTTTGACACCTTTGAGATATCAAAATGGTTATGTCATAACTGATGAACTATGAGTTTGTAGCTAAGAAAAGTTCTGAACTAGAGGTGTAAACTTGGAAACCATTTGAATTATAATTGAAATTACTAGAGTGCAGGAAACTACACAAAGAAAGACCACTGAATGAAGAATGTCATGAGAGGAAATCCTACACTTAAAGTTCATATAGAGGAAAAGGATCCAGGAAGGGAGACACAAGAGGTGGAAGGAAAACTAAGAGAGACTGATAGCATACACAGCAAGGGAACACAAAAGAAATGGGCAATGGGTCACAAGCACTGCTGAGAGAATAAGAGCCAACCTGAACAAAGATCCTGGATTTTGTGACATAAGAAGCAAGGCCTTGTACTGAGACCAAAGTACATATGAGAAGAGTAGAGAGTATTAAAATAAATACTGCACAGAGATTTATATATATATATATATATATATATATATATATATATATATATATATTGCATAGAGTTAATAAAAATAGATAGAGGCACAGGTTTAATCAGTTTTTGAAGGATCTGCTTCACCTGAGTTGATTGATAATGCCTTGGCCATATAGATTCTTCTACTCCCAATTCTCTTAAATGCCAAAATACGAACTCTACAAGTAGCTTTGTGAATTACTTCTTTCAATATTCCTCAAAGTAAAGCATAACACTCCATAGTTTGGCTATGGCTTAGTGGCCTCAATTTCTCTATAGAGCACTGAACTGATTTGGAGCAGATGATCTTTCCCATCATAACTGCCTGACTGAATAAACATGGATGGAGGAAACCCTCATGAGTCTGGGAAACTTCCTGGCCAGTATTTTTCAATATGGCCATCATTTTCCTAAAACAAGACACTGCTAATCCTATATATTTTTTATGATTAATGTTTAGCATATGATGCTAGGCCTACTAAAATATTTGAAGCTGATTTTTACTTCTTTATTTCTATTTGATGTTCCTTACTATGCATCCACAAATGCTAGTTCTTCTGTCTTTGGTGCACACAGAGAGAAAACAACTCAAAGAAAAAAGACAGCCCTGATTGACCTATACATCATTGAACAAGTTGCATCATCTGAACGTATTGCTCCAGAGTCAAGATAAAATAGGAAAACATGTTTGAGCCATAATGTATGGTAATGAGTATCAAATTTAACCAACAGTGGAAAATAAGACACAGAGAGATTGTATCAACTGCCCCACTATTCCTGGCTGGTGAGGAACAGGACTCAGATTGGAAGCCAAGTTTCAACCAGTCCAGTGCCCTTTATATTACACTGTGCTATTAGACTAGATTGTAAATTCCGCAAGTAGAGAGACAATGTTTTGTTTGCCACTGCATATTCATTGCTTGGTATTTAACTTATGCCCAATAAATATTTTTGAATAAAAGAATTAGAAGGCCAGTACTGTGGCTCACGCCTGTAATGCCAGCACTTGGGGTGGCTGAGGCAGGTAGATAATTTGAGCCCAGAAGTTCAAGACCAGCCTGGACAACATGGGGAAACCCCGTCTCTACAAAAAATACAAAAATTAGCTTGGCATGGTGGTGCAGCCTGTAGTCCCAGCTACTTTGGGTGGGGGCCTAAGGCAGGAGGATTGCTTAAACCCAGGAGGTCAAGACTGAAGTGAGCTATGATCACACCACTGTACTCCAGCCTGGACAATAGAGCAAGATCCTGTCTCAATAAATAAATAAATGAAGTAAAAGAACAAGTAAAAGAACCACACTACCTAGCAAATAATCTTCACTTAAAATACATTTTACAATGGAAAATTGTAAAATGGAAAATCAACAACAGTTATTAACTGCTCACTTTGTACAAAATGTTTTATCTACTATGTTCTATGGAGACTTACAAGAAAAAAATAAATAAAATGTGGCCCCTGCCCTACAGGAACTTACAATTATCACAATTCTCTGCAAAACAGGTTAGGACATGGTAAGCACCACCATATATAAGATGTATGAACAAAGGATTACATGGAACATGGAAATCTTCATGAACCTGGTGGCATTTATGCTGGATCTTTTAAAACAGAAGAGTTTTTAGGTGGAGGTAGGATTGAAAAACATTTCAGTTGAACTAAACAGAATGTCTAAATGGACAGAATCAGGAAACAATGGTATGTGTTTTATTATTGAAACAGTCTACTTGTCAGGAACATGGGATGAATAAAGCAAAGTGGCAACACGTGAAAAGTAGAAAGAAGCTGGTAAGAAGGGGAAATGACAGATACCGTAGGCAGCTCTGAGAGTTACCTTAAGGAGTTTCAAATTCATTCAGTCTAAAGCTTTTTGAGCAGGAAGGTAATAGGAGATCCTTCTTGCCATAGTGTATTAAAATTTATTGTAGAAAAATGATCATGAGTTTTCAATAGGTATAATTACAGAAAGTCAAAATTATTCACATCAACTAATGATGTTCTATGTTAATATGAAGAGAACAGATTCATTCTCAGAGCACACAGACAGGCCCTCATATCAAACTACAGCTTGACTCATTGGCCGGATGGCTCTCCATACCATTTTCTTCAGTGTTTGCTATGGCAGAAATGAAAAAACGTATTACTTTTTTGAAGGTTTATAAGTCTGACTATAGAACAATTAATGGTATACAAAGGAAAAGTATGTTGTGGCCTAAGTGTGAAATTCTGAAAACTCATGTTTTTAACGTCCCAAACGTTTCCTAAAATGTCCCTTTATAAACCCCCAAATAACTGTATTCTTTTGTGAATTCCCTCTAATTGTAGTGGCTTATTTGATCCCCAGGTAGTATAAAAACATGATAACACCTACCCATGAGTGAGAACATGCGGTGTTTGATTTTCTGTTCTTGTGTCAGTTTGCTGAGAATGATAGTTTCCAGGTTCATCCATGTCCCTACAAAGGATGCAAATAACTAGGGGAGGGACAGTGGGGGGTGGGGTATTGGGGAAGGATAACATGGGGAGAAATACCAGATATAGGTGATGGGGAGGAAGGCAGCAAACCACATTGCCATGTATGTACCTATGCAACAATCTCGCATGTTCTTCACATGTACCCCAAAACCTAAAACGCAATAATATATATAAACAAAAAAAAAAAAAACCATGGTAACAATTAAGACTCAAGGTGGCTTAAGTATTAACAAACTTGTAAATAAAGAACAACAGTGAAATAATGAAAAAAAGTGAGCGAGATTTTGACTGAATAGGATACAAACAAAATACTGGTACTACATCAGTGATGAGAGGCTCATTCCAGGAAGCTTTGGGGGAATTATTAAGGAGATCTCTTTATTTCTAGATGAGTTCCAAAATAATGATGATATATTCATTTAGCTGAAATGTTTTGAGAACAATGAACTAGATGAGGAGAGAGAATGGCTATGGAGATATAAATGATGGTGCATATACTGAGTCATTTGTGTTAGTTCTGTTATAATTATCATTAATCCCGCTTTTACAATGAGAGACAAAGCCTATAGAAAATGGAAATATCATGGAACCTACAGAAATGACAGAATATTATCACATGGGAGGAATTGTTTCCCCCTTACCTCAGGCCTTTATGTGGATAACATTGCTCCGTAGATTTTTAGCATCATAATGTTTTCATACATAATGACTGGCATTTTGATTCTGACAACTGGACATATATGACAAAGATGTGTGTAAGACAAATTTTAAACATATACATGGGATTTATCTACAATTATCATGTGGGATGTACGCATATGATATAATTCTTGAAACAGAGTAGCTACATTTGATGTCAGTGGAGGCTTCACTTAATAAATGAGATAAAATATTTAGGGAATAAGAAAGATGGTAAATGAGCAGGTTAACAATTTTGTGTTATGTGCAGCTCATAATTGTAACTTTGTGATGAGCTCCCACTGTGTCAATGGGAGGTGGGTGGAGGTTAGTGCCAGGTTAATTGTTGTAATCAACATCTATCAGGAGAAAAAGTGGAGATAAAATTGCAGCATTTATGTTTTTGACTTTCAATTTTCCTTCATTTCTATACTTGTTAGATTTTCTTCCCTTATTATTATTTATATCCCATGTCTGATTTTTTTTTCTTCCCCTGTCTCTTTGGTTTACTGAAGAAAATACTTCATAAAATCTATTTTAAAGGCATTTTAAAAAATAAAGAAAATGTCATTCATCTATTCATTTTCAATGTAGAGTTGAAAATATAGTTCCATTGAAAACATTACCAAGTAATCTGATTGAAAAATACATTTTGTAAGGAAAGAGGTATTTTACCAGATGTCTCTGTGGCATGCTTGGGATTGTAGTACACCAACAATGCTAAGCCTGCAGGTAATTTTAATTATCATCTGACAGGTCATTTTTCTTTTTTAGTAATCTTCTAGCCGTTTGGGATTCACTCCTCTCAATGACTATAGATGTTTCCTCCGTGTAATGAAAGAACTTGAGACTTCAAATGTGCAGCTTCAAGAACTGGGCTTTCCAGTTCTCTATGAATCTTCATCTTTGCAATGTGATTTAGAGTTGAGTTATAGTATAATCACATGTCAAGGGTACTACCATCCAACATTTCATCAAATCCAAGTTGAAGTTATCTTTAAATTTGAGGCTTCAAATTACTATGCTATTTTTTTACTTCTTTCTTGATTCAGAAAGTTAATGTTTATGTAAATTAAATAACACCTGCATTTTACTACTGGTCTAATTTTACTTCTCACCTACTTATTCTTTTCTTTATGCTCAGCTTCAAATTTTCCACATCTATGTTTGCTTTTATTTTCATCCCTTTTATCAATGTTAATATTGCTTTTCCAAATTTTTACTTTCCAAGACATTTCATTGCTAAATTTGGAAAGAATTTACACAAATCCCAAGGGAATTAATAGCAAAAAGAAAAATGAAACAAACTTCTGTGAACTGTAAATTTTCATGTTTATTAAATGCAAAAAATCATTTTTTAAAGAGGAATAAACAAAACTGCTTTTGGTTTGTGCCTTCGCCTTCTGAAGAAAGCTCTGGAAAAAAATGTCCATCAGATTACATATTTTATTGAATATTTTAGTGAAATCAACATTCAAATTAAGTTAGTAGGCTTTTGGTATCATGTATGTGTTTAAAATTGCTGTTAAATGCTTATATCACAATTTAAGTTTTTTGGGGAAAAAGTCTATTTTGATAAAATAATTATTTAAAATATCGGCTTAATTTTTATAAGTGTGAGTACACTGTATGGCAGAGATGAATATACAATTATATTTGTTCACAGGCTTATTGGTGATTTTGAGAAATTTTTATTTTATCTCTATGGAAACCATGAGTCATTCATTCATTTTCCTAGATATACAAAATCCAAATTCATTTTAAAATTTAAAATTAATTAAAATATATTAGAATATCTTTCTGCAACTTGGTAACATCATTATCTCCATCAGATGAGATCTTCTCAGATGGGAATTACCTTATTGCATTGAGGGAATTATAAAGGTGTTTTCAGAATGAGATAGATATCTCTTGAGCTTCTGTATCTTCTTGGTCTGAAGTCCCTACATTTTAAAGAATTCATTTAGTAATATTCTGGTGTTGCTCATGATTTAGAAGTTTTCAGTTGGATACAATAACAATTGGTTATCAAACTACTGTCTAATTCTATTTGTATCTTTGGAACATTTAGATGTTAAAAATTCACGAATACTTTTAAAGAAGATTTAAAATGTTAGAGTATAAAAATAGAATATAGACAACTGCAATTGATCCCTCAGCTTGACAACAGATGAAAATTTTTAGAGCTAAACACATTATTTCTATTATCTAGCCATAAAAGGAAAGTATCATGATGACAAGTGCATTTATCAATTTAAACTAGATTCTCATAGTCTTCACCTTATACCAGAGTTTTATCTGAGTTCTAAAATATAAAAATCAAGACATGCTTCTATCCATGTTAAATTTTTAAGCAATTTTAAGCAAAAGATGCAGTTCCATTGATTAATACATGACACGTTTCTATGAGCTAAATAAATGCTGAGAAGTGTGGAAGCACCATACTCATTTAAAGGGCATAAGCTGCACATGGATAAGGCCATGTTTGGGTTCTGTTTTGTCCACAAATCTGACATAGTGGTGAATGAATAATGAATAAATGGAAAGAAGTTAAGGGAGAGAGGAAAGGGACAAATGGATGAATAATACAAATAAATTTCTGTTTATCTTATATCTTAATTTGTATACTAACTGCAATACAGTAAGCAGACTAGCGTTGCCTAAAAAAGCCTGAGCCCAAATGCGTTCATAAGTTATCTGTAATTAGCATATCCAAGCACCTTGTTGGGGATGACTGACTTCTACTTACACTGCCTTTGCTTTACAGGCTGTCTGGCATTTTGTAAATTACAGTGAGATTACTTCTAAAGGGTTAAACACTCAAGTTATCTACTTAGGCAAAAAATGCCCTTGAAATCCCTTATACTGCATACAAAACTTGATTTTGGAAGTCTATACTTTTACATCATAATTTTTGAACGCATTAAAGTTTGAGGAGTACTGTGCTAAACTTAAGACAAAACAAAGTCAAAACTCTGGGTAGTGAGTGAGTGACCTATTGCTCAGTGACAGTATAGTTTAGAGGTTAAGAGTCCCTGCTTTGAAATCAGTGTGCTGACTCTGAATCCGAGATCTATGGCTCAGTAGCTGTGTGATCTTGACCAAATGACTTAATACCTCTTGATCCATTTCACATCTGTAAAATCAGATTATAATAGTACCTATGGAATAGATTGTTGTGATAACCAAATGAAATAATCTGTGTAAATGGTTTGAAATAGGGTCTAGCATGTAGTGAAGTGTGTTTGCTATTCCCCCTGACTTTATGATGGCTATAAAATCCCTAATAAAGAACAAATGATGGATAAGAATTATAAAATGTTTGTTTGCCTGCAGAATATACTCCATTCTATTTTCATAAATCAGCCTGTAAACTTAATGAATATAAATAAATAGTTTCCTGGGAAGAAGTAAGGAGATAAATGTCACTGACACACAGTAGGTAATGCTTACTGGATTTTAATCTAAATCTTGCTTGAGCAGATCAATGTGCATGCTATTCTTGGAAAAGATAGAAAGATTACCTTGGCTACCTGTGTCCTATCTTTCTAGTCTGTCACTACCTTTGGAGGCCCTACTGAACATGAATCAGTCTTATGCTCTTAGGCATCAAATGCAGATTGAGAGTTACAGTCTAAGCCTGGCTCAGAAGTTAAATATACAGATAGCATAACTCCTCATCCCTAAGACCTATTAAGTTAGTCCTCCTGAACAAATCTTTTAGGCTCATTGGCCAAAAAGCCTTTCCTATCATAATTCCTGGCCACAGCTCAACAGCACGTGCAATCCCAATTAGAATCACCAAAGGAATGGTTCTTCCAGGTGCTCTGCCATGAGGCCCCCAGGTCCACTTTCACACACACACACACACACGTGCACACACATACACACACAACTTTAATACCGCAACCTGTTTAAACTTTTACCCCTTTGTTACCATCATCTCAGAGTTCTTGCCTCTGCTTGAATAAGGGCAAGCTGTATCCTTTCCCACTGAAACAGTGGTGGTAGATGTATTCCTAACATGCCCAGTTATCTCATTAATTTAACCAATATTTATTCAGCATTGCAGCATGCCAGAGATTATGTGGTGGACCTAAGATATGAATAGGTGAACAACTTACACTGATTTCATGACACGTATTATCTAGCAGGGAAGAATGAACATTATGTTAATAAATATTTGCTGTAATATATGACATTGATACAACTCTGCAGCTAACTTTTCTT